ATTTAGAGCCATAAGAGAAGGGTTTGGATGCAGTTTGTTCATGCACACATTCACACAAACTCATCTGTTGACAAATCTCTCATCATAGCAGCAAGCAGCAGCCTCTAAAGCCTGTTGCAAGTCTGTGTGTGTGTGTGTGTGTGTGTGTGTGTGGGATGAGGGTTTAGGCACGTTGTCTGCTAGGCCGTCCAAGAAGCCCCAGGGCACCTCAGTAAAAGAGATAATTATCTTTTATCTGCTGTGTTGTGACGGGAGATTATGGTTCAAATTTACGATTGTTAAGGAGACAATGCAACGCGAGGCTGCTCTTTTTCAAAGTGGCGAGGGGGTCTCGAACAAGTGAGAAGAACTCCCACAATGCCGCGGCAGCTCATCCCTCATGTTTCAGGCTTCAGGACTTTTGGAAACAAAAGGGGAGGATAAGAACTACAAAAGCCATTTACTTTAAAAAAATAAAAAAGACGATAGTAATCCAATACTAATTTTTTAGGATCCTAAATAAAGTGTTTGGTTTATCTTGTAATGGTATCAAAGTGAAATCAGAGGAGATTAGAGATAGCACAGACTCCAATGCAGTCCCTGTTAGCTCGCTGTGGAGCATAAAATACTCCTCATGGACCCCAATTTGACACCTGAATTACTTCATAGAGTCTCTGCAGGGATTCAAATTTCATCAAAATCATATGTTACAATCATTTTTGTTAGACTAAGAAAATTCCATATACACACCGACACACACACACATTAAAAAAATTAAATCATTCCCGGTTTCAATGGCAGCAATTGTTTTTGCATTCTTTTTAGTTTTGACTAAAAATACCACTCACAAAATAAATCTGTTAAATTTAAAGCGTCTGTTAGCAATGATTAGCAAAAACTGGAAACAGGTTGAAACTGCTAGTCTGACAGTATCTTATCCTGTATCCTAACTAAATGTGCACCAACCATAGACTGTAGAGGTGTTATGAAGCCCGAGCGCCATATTGGAAATTCTGACTCCAATTTACTGTCCACTAATCTAGAAGGAGGACAAAGAGGTGGAGCCGGGCCTGGCTGGTTTTCAGTCTTTATACAAAGCTAAGCTAACCAGCTGCTAGTTCAAGCTTCATATTAAGCATTTTCATAAAATCTTCACATCTGAAGTTGCAGAGATATGTAAAAATCTGTGGTGTTTCATCAATACGTGTGGTTTATCTCGAGCCCTCAAACACTACAAACTATAAAAAGAGCTTTTAGGGGATTCACAAACCACAACACAAAGCTAGCTATCCTACATGTGACCACACTCACACGGGGGTCGGTCGGGCCTTTCAAACCAATATTACTAATAACAAACCCTCTGAGTTTGTATGTGAAAGGAAACTGTAACACACCCAAACGCAGAGCTGAATGACAGAAAGCTTCAGTTAAGGTGAAGAGAGGTGTTAACACATCCTGTGAAAACACGAGTCTACTTCCTGAGGTGTGATGATCATTCTTAGCAACAGTGAGGGGATTTTCACTTATTAAATTGAAAATAAAACTATATGAAAACATGCAGAGGTGTTTATCCTGTCATATGTTTGTGTCCATTTATGTCACATTCAAACAAAACCACTGCAGCCACTAAAGCAGTTTTACTGATTTCAAGTGGCAAAGTCCATTTTTAAACGTTCAAATTAATCAAACTACGAACCACAGATTAAACTGTTAAAAGAGAGTTTGGTGCATAAAAGACATTCAACACATCAGGTTGGATTTTTAATGCCGTCAACGGACAAACTAAGTTGCATTTAAGAATATAAAGTTGTACCAAAAAAGTGAAATTTCAGACCGGAGCCTTGGCATCAAAATGTAAACAAAAGAAAAATGTCAATGATTCCATGACAAAGTTTGCATTTGAAAACAAAAGTTACATTAGATAGCATTATTAGCATCCAGTTCTTCAGAGTTTCTACAACAGCTATGGCGTGTGTTGCATAAGAGGCGTTCAGTAGCCTGATTTTTATGTTTTTAAGTCACAGAGTTAGCATTTCAAAGATTCAGTTTTTGACACATTAAAGTGCGTTTTAGGCATCAAAATTCACCAAATTCTTCCAAGAAGTCGATCCCAAAATTTGACCCGACCTCTGCCGATGGTGATGAAGACGGACTGTTTCTTAAAGCCGATTAAAGCCACAAATCTGTCAGCGTCCTCACCTGAAAGACGAGAGGCAGACGCAGGAAGAGAGAGAGACAGACAGACAGACGGACGGAGAGAGAGAGAGAGACAGAAATAAGTGCTTTGTGCCCGTGATGATGATGATGATGATGGAGGGTAGAGAAGAAGAAGAGATCACACAGAGTTCGTCATTCATCCTCACCTGAGCTGCACATCCACTCACCCCTGGCAGACGTCCACAGCCGAACGCCACAGAAGAAGAGGTCAGCCAGGGGCCATGGGGTCCCAGCACAGGGCATGAGCTCTCCTCAATCCCTCTACACACACACACACACACACACACACACACTATTCCCATTCCCCATCCCACATGCCCCCTTGACCTCACTATTAAAACACAGGAGCAAATCTCCCGATTGGTCACAGCAGCTCAGAAACAAATGACGCCAAATACCTGACTCCTGTTTGGCCTTTTCCTACAGGGAGGCATGAGAGGGGCTGCAGCCCGGCGGATTTGGCCCGTCCACTTGTGCAAATATAGTCCAATATTGGAAAATGTGGTTCTTCAAGAGTCCACATGACGTAGATGTAGGGAGATGCGTTTGATAACAGGCCACAGGGCAACATCTCAATAACAGCTCCAAGAATAGAAAGTGTATGTTGCAGAAAGTACTATTTCCTTCCTTTTTGGTGTCTTTATAAACACACCATCGCCTACAAAACCCACCTGGAATTTTTCAAATATCCAGAATCTGTTGGTGCGTTTTTATAAAAAGCTAATTGTCTTTGCATGGGTGCTTTGTTGGCATAAAAAAACCTCTTGAAAAAGTAAGAAAAGCTCCTTATGAGGACGTGAAATGTCCACCCTGCAGCTAACGTTATGCTCAGTTGTGATCTGTGCTGCTAATACTGTTTTCAATTTCAATCTGCAGCATACGAGTCTCAGCAGTCCTGGGACGTTCTTTAAGCTTATTCATAACAATTTGTTCGTTTTAGGATGTTATAAGAGTTTGTGTTTCATATATTTGACACAATGCAATAATATCAGATGGTTGTAGTGAAAAGTGTACACAGTTTATTCTGAAATATTTGTTGTTAATGACTTGATTTTGGTGCAGAGACAGTCCATGCATGCACAGAGAAACATGTTTCTGTACTATGTAGTGTATTGAAAACATGGGGTATAATATACACGCTTTTTTTGTCAGTCACCTGTGAAGCCAATCTGAACGTCACTTTACTTTATTATTAAAGATACTTACAGATTAAACAGGTAATATACATGGGCGGGCATGCAGAAAAACGAAGCATCCTGCAGGTGAACTTCAGTCACTTTAATACATTTAATGAGCAGACGACGCATCGCTGCATTTTTCCAAGAATGGAAATGATCATGAAGAGGGGAAAAAGTAAACTGTTCAGCCTTTAAAAGTCAGAGCAGTATTTTGTACATTTGCACACTCAAACGACAAAAAAATGTAAAGAAAGAAAGACGTTTGTGTGGAGTTGTTGTTTGGTCCTGATGCTGGATCAGTTGAGAGCCACTGATTTAGACCCTTAAAGCTCTTAAGAAACGACTTCACAGCCGCTGTAACACTTTGAATCTGCAGAGTGTCGCAGGTGCATGATGCACTTTTATTTAATTCCATTGTTATGTTGTCCTGTATGCATTTAACTGTGTCTTTTGAAATTATGTAGTTTAATGTTACTGGATGCTAAATGTTAAAAATCTGCAAAAACTGTGCATCAGTGTCATGCTCAGTTTTAGGACTGCGTTAGATTGCATCGTCCCAGTCAAATTGCGCTGGGAAAAAAAAGTCAACCCAGTACCCTGTGTGCTGTGGTCAGCAGTATGCATGCTGCAGTCAATCTGATGTCACTCCTGACATGTTAATTCAATAGAAAAAAAAAAGACATTTGTATCAGATTTAGGCTTGAACATGACTGTGGTCAAAAAAAGGAATTCTATACATTCAATTCAAAATGAGTCAGGTTTGGTTTTCCAGATCTTAAAACATCTTAAGTGCAGCGTATTCTCAGTCCAAACAAAAGTAACCGAGGTACTTTTTTCATGTTTCCTCCCCCGTCCCTGCTGCATGTCACACACAGACTGCTGCGGTGCATTGTGATGTGGCCGTGTAGTTTATTTGTGGTCTGAAAAAAAAAAACAGAAGTATTTGACCGGTGGGTTTTTTTTTTTTGCACAACAAAAAGTTTTCTAAAGATTTCTCCAAACTAACATATAGTTCCTCTTCTTCCCCCGGCTCAACACTGATGTTATCAGCAGTAGGGGCCGTACAAAAAGCAACATTGCTCAGTTATTTATGAAATGTTTTACATTATTTTTTCCCTTTTAAAAGATTGAAAACTTCCAGATATGACTGTACATGTCAGATGTCAGCATGTGCTCATCTTGGTGTATAAATAGTTTGATAATCGATCTAAGGTCTGAGGAAATGTCTGAAATGATGCTGCTTCCTTCTCTGCTCTAAATGACTGATAGTTGTTTGATGTGTGTGTGTGTGTGTGTGTGTGTGTGTGTGTGTGCAGTGTTGCATGTCGCTCTCTGTGTATTTATGAATCTGTCCGATGAGACAAAAAGCTCTTTCTGCCCGGGCTGGCCTCTCTGACCCCGCTGTTTGATTTGTTCCTGCATCGCTCTCTGTTTATTTCTGCTCTTCCTGTTTGTGTCCTAACTGACCTCGCGTGAGCCGCCCCTGTGAATGCTGGGTAAAGAAATACGAATAATAATAATAAATAATAAATAAATAAAGATGGCGGCTGCTGCTTCTTGTTTTGTGGGTGAAGAGTGGGGTGTCAAAGATCACACAGAAAAAAAGAGGGCTCCGGACCACAGCGCTAACATGTCAACAGAGATTAAACTAGTTTATTATTTTCAAAGAGGGGAAAAAAAAAAATTACGAAACAAAAAAAGCAGTCATATTTTACACTAGTGATTATTATTAAATTTTTACAACCATTCAGTCTGCATAACATAAAGAAATAATTCTACATCTTTGTTTATTTCGTATTTTTGGTACTCTGATTTTATACATACAAATAACAAATACAGGAACTTTTTTCACAATGCATATAATCTGTGGGCAGGAAGAAAGTCTTTCAGGTGTGTGTGAGAGTGTGTGTGTGTGTGTGTGTGTGTGTGCGTGTGTGTGTTTATATGTGTGTGTGTGTGTGTAGGTGCAACACAAACCAATTGCCCGAGACCTATAGCACATCCAAAGAAAATAAAAAAAAAAGAGAGACGTCCAACAGCCGGAGCTGCAGACTCTCTGCAAACTTAATGCAACGCAATTCACGCAGGCGAAAACAGAGGCCTGCCCTTCTCAAAGTCTCTCTTTTCTCTTTTTCTCCTCCCTTTTTTCTCTTTCCTCCAAAAGGCGTCCTCTTCACCTGCCGCGACTCGTACCCTTTCCTCGTCGTTAGCTGCCCGGGGGGCATGTTTTCCTTTTTTTTTCTTCTTACTTAATTAAAAAGTCTTCATTAAATGTACTGTATTTCATACAATTTGTACAAATATATTCAATGTCTGTCTCTCCTCGGTGAAGAAGAAAGGGGAGGGGCTTGTGGGGGCAGGGGGCGGGTGGGGGTTCCTGTTACACAGGTGCGAGTTGAAGAGGGAGAGAGGGCGGGGTTTGGGAATTCAGGGCGAGAGTAACAGTTTCTTTTTTTTTTTTTAAGTCTGTTTTTGGTGATGTGTGGAAAAAAATGGCTTTTTGTACAGAAATGGAGGTCCTTTTTATATCGTGTGGATCAGCTGGGAGGAGAGCAGTGGCGGGGTTTTTTAAGGAGGGGGGGAGAGAAAATGTTTTTTACTCTCCCGCGCTGGAGGAACAAAAAAAAAAAAAACTCTTCCTCGTGCGGAGGTCAGTGTGCCCAAAAAGGTTAAAAGTCAAGTCTGCAAAGCGTTCAACATCGCAGAGGTACACTTTGATTTTTATAAAAATAAGATACAACCGAAGACAAAAGGAGGGCTGTCGTCGTGGCACCGCAGCTCGCCAGGGAGAGGAGGGGGGAGGGGCTTCGAGGGAAAAGTTCATTTTGTCTTTAAAAGGAAGTGAGAGCAGGTCAGCAGAGGTACCGAGGGGGGTTAAAGTGGTGAGGGGGGGGGTTGCAGGTCTCTAACCCATAGCTGTGACCATACTGGAGGGGTGGTGGGGGGCGAAGGAAGGGTGCATGGGTGTCGGGGTGCTCAGCATGTGGCCGGAGTGCGAGAAGGGGGGGAAGGAGGACATGTGGCGGGAGAGGGCGGCCGGGCTGAAGGAGCTGCTCTTGTCCATCAGGCTCTTGGAGAAGTCGTCCATGCTGTCGTGGGACTTTTTGCTCTTCTTGGACTTGCTGGACATCTTCCTGTTCCGGGTCTGGATGCCTTCCTTCTTCATGGTCAGAGGTCGGTTGATCTGCTCTCGAAAGGAGACAGAGAAGAAGGCAGGTTAGTATTTAAGTCGCAGAAAAGACGTTTGTTTGCTTGCGAGACGGGAAAGTACACCTGCAGGGAGCGCTTAAAAGTTCCCATGGAAACGGCAAGCTAGCTAGCAGAGAGCGAATTCACTCCACAGATTTACATTTGTTCCTGCTTTAGACTCAAAGGAGGATTTTATCAAATCAGTGATTGGTGTTTGAAGTTTCCCTTTTTCTGTCAAGTTTAACCAAAAACACAACAATATTCAGAATCAAAAAGGATGCTAAACAGCTTGCTAGCTCCTTTGTCATTAGCTACGATTTGCGCAAAGATACAAAATCTGAGAGCTTTTCATTGGACGCTAAATCCATAAACTCCCCATTTCAGGATGGAAAATCAACATTTCTTCATATTTCCAGGTACTAAAATCTCAAACTGTCACAATGGATGCCTATAACAACTGTTTGTTTTGGTTGTTGAGCAGAATACTGGCATAAAGGTGCAAAAGAAAAAGAAAAACCCTGAGAATTAAATTTGTGTTTGTGGGAGCTTGAGTGAAGTAATGATCAAAAGAGAGGTAAGAATGTGGATGTTAAACGTCCTCTCAGGCAGATTCTGGGTTTTTCAGGGAGACATATTGACATGTCCCATTATAACCCAATGTGACTGTCCCGTCCTGAACCATAAGATTGTTTACGTGTGTGTGTGTGTGTGTGTGTGTAGCAGTGTTTTGTGTGCAGGCTGAAGTGTATCCGAGTCTGCGTCCATGCCAGAAAGAAACAGAGAAAGAAAAAAAGGGAAGGATGGAGGAAGAGACGGAGAGAGTGTCTGGCAGCTCATGTGCGAGCCAGTCGACCACAGAGACACATGGCAAGGACGACCGCCAACTTCTCCTCTCTCTCTCTCTCTCTCTCTCTCTCTCTCTCTCTCTCTCTCTCTCTCACCCTCCTCCTCCTCCTCAACCGCTCGGCCCTGCCTTCTCCTGGCCAAAATGGCCCCAGCTGCCGTATTCCAGCATCGGTTTAGCACCGAGAACGAGAGCCTGGATGATGGAATTCGGGACTGTGGGCAGGATTACGAGGGGGAGGTGGATGAGGCCGACTGGCTTCCTGATCTTTCTTTCCCGGGGAAATGGGAGCGGGGATTTCTTCTTCCTCGTTGTCTGAGACTCTCTTCTTCTTTTTTTTTTTTTTTTACAGAGTGGCCTAGATGATTAGCAAAGGGCAGAGATCTGTGGTTTCACTCTCTTTGCCTCGTCTGCCTCCATTCCAGCTCTACGCCCACCTAAAGCCCCGCTCAGGCCCTCTTTGATGCCTGAGATGTCTCGCAGAGGAAACCTCAGGGCCTCCGGACTGCGCTCAGGCCACCGCCTCCGCCCGCGAGACTTCAAACAAACAAAAAAGTCAGCCAAAAGTGATTTTCAGTCAATGACCGCCGCAGCAAAACACACACAGCCTCTCACATCCTCTCCAACACCTGAAACCTCACAAGCGCTTAAAACAAAAAAGTCAGACCTTCAAAAACTACCCTGATAACTTAAAAAGAGACCGACTGAGTTAGCTTCTTATCTCAAAAGTGAGCGGGACAACAGGCTGCTTCCATCAGGTGTTTTTTGGGACACACACACGCACTGAACTCTCCATGAAGAATGTGGAATTTGTTTCAAAGGGAGAAATCCAAAACAGAAGTCTGGATTTACCAAAACAAACTTCCCAATTACGCCCCAGAGGTCGGGGTCAGTTCAGATGCTAATACGCGACAAGGAAATATTCTTCTTCTTCTTCTTCCCTTTTTCCCCGTCTGCACTCACAAAAAAGTATGAGACTAAAAGTAAACCGGGACAAAGATTGAACCGGGAGTACTCTCTTAGAAAGTACAGATACTGTCTTCCTCTACTTCGGGACAGAGTATTTATTTTACTGACGACTCTTCACTTTTACCCTCTCCATTTTTACACACATCTCTCTGCTTTCAATTTAAAAACAGCCTCTTCACTTTTATCTTTCCTGCATTTCAGCACAGTTATCTTTTACTTTTTGCGTTTATGCACACTACTTTCCAAATCGCATCATTTTTTTACTACTTTTTTTGATTCTAACTTCTACATTTGAACACATTCCTCTACTTTTGTTTCCTTACATTTCCAAAAAACAGACTCCCAACTTTAGCTGCCGTGCATTTCAGGATAAATCAGTGATTGATTAATACTTATTGTGCATCATTTTCTCCTCTTGTCACAGCTTCAAAACTGAAGGAATGAAACTAACGCATGACAAAGACATCATGAGTGCACGTCCCTCACTAACAGACAGAATGTGACCAAAACAAGTCAAAACACTTCTGAACTTAAGGTTCAATATTTCCCATCAGATCGTTGTTTTTAATATTTATTTCAAATGTCAAGTGATCGATTTGAAATAATCTCCCAAATAGGATGTCGACTTTTACACTTCATACTGGGACTACATTTCCCAGCCGGTGCGTTTACACTGTTTCCTAAATTAAAAAGTACTTTGAGTCATTTCTTACAAAAGTATCTGTAGCCACTTCCTGCAAAGTCAAAAATAAAATGTGCAGTTGCTGACAGGAGTAAATATGAGCTATAATTAGCCTGCTTTGTGTTGTTGTTTATTAATAGTTTGAACTACAATGTAGTGCTGATTTAGAGTGACAGCTCTGTGCAGCACAAATGAGGAAGGGGGTGGGAGGGGGGATAAAGTAGTCCCCTGGGTTTTCAGATGGAGGATGTGAAGTGATGTGTTGAGGCGACCCAAAACGAGTCAGACTGGATTGGTGGTCAGAGGGGGGGGGGGGGGGAAGAAAAGTCGGCCTGGAAATTAATGGAATTTTAATTAAGCCCCCTCCTTCTTTAATATTCAAAACGACGGCAGGCTGCGGGCTTAGTTCACTCCGCTCTTATACATTTTAGATTCGCACTTACTGCCAATAAATCATATTAATTCTACAGTATTTGTTATCAGCGTGGCCCCGGAAAGCCTCTGCAGGGGACGAGTCAGATAAATATTCAGAGGAGGAGGGAGGAAGGAAGGAAGGAAGGAAGGTTGCCCGGCAGGACGTGAGGAGAAAAAGGAAGATGCAGGTGTGTGAAAAGTAAATATTCATGGAGGTATTTTCTACTTACATTGTGCAGTTTGTAGTAGAGGCCGCAGGCGTTGCACACCGGGTCCCCGTTGGCGTTTCTCCGCCACAGCGTCGTCGTTGTCGTTTGACAGTTTGCGCATGACGTCCCCGCCCGTCGAGCTGCGGACTGCACGACGACACACAGAGAGAGGACACGAAAAGGTCAGATGACCCGCGAAATAACCCCAACCAACATCGACTTTTAATTCTCACAAATATAACACGAAAACAGGGCTTCAAATTGTCTTATAATGCCAATCAAATATGCGTTTGCAATATTTATTTCAATAAATGTAATGTTTTTATTTTCTTCTAGAAGCCCTGTATGCATGAGGATAATGCACATGACATTTACATGATCTAAAACTGCCACCAATAAATAAAAGCACAAATGAAACTATTTTAGGCACGTGTGTTGTGCAAAATCCATGTAAGAAACCATAAAAAGCATGCTTTTATTTGACTGCATTACACTCATCCATTATTATTTGCATTAACTAGAAGCTGAAAAATAAAGACAGAAATACCTAAAAAAAAAAAAAACTGAGCTGCTTTCACTCGAGGCTAAAAATAGCGCCATAGAGCTGCATACCTCCGTGCAGAATAAATATTTACAGAAGACATAAAAGCAGTGCCTTGAAATGGGAGAGCTATTAAATCTGATTAAACCCCCCTCCCTCCCTCCCCCTCCCTCTTTTAAGTGCGTAGCTTGTTTTAACTGTCGACCTCTAAAACAATTCACATGGAAAGAAAGAAAAGAAGGGAAAATGGGGCCTGAACGAGTTGGTATCGATTATAAAGGGTCTTGTGTTATATATAGGAGCAGGCTTTTTGGGGAGGAGGGGGAAGGGGGGTAAATATGAATATCTAAAGCAGTGAATTATTTGTAATAATTGCACGCAAATTAAAAGCACGATATAAACAAAATGTTTATTTTTGGCTTCGCTGCAGGCTGAAAGCTGAGGTTTTTTTCCCTTCATCCTGACACAGTGAAAGTCGTGTCTTCTCATGGATTTAGCTGCCTTGCCTGTCTGCTGCAGTGCCTTTGACATTGATGTTATAATCTCTAAAAAAAAAAAAAAATCGATAGACAGGTGACCGCAGAGGACACGCTCACGTTAAAGGACTACATTATCTCTCGGAGGGATTTCCAATTATACACATGTGGTGGCCTAATAACCCCTGCTGCTGCTGCTGTGTGCTGTGAATAACCAATAAACCCTGTTACGTCTTTATATGAGGCGTGTGTTAAAGTCTGCGTGTAATTCGTTTATTCTTCTGTGCTTTTGTGATTTTTTTTTTTAATACTTTTTTTTATTTTTTATGCACACTTATGCTATTTTGCTACTTTATCATTTATATTTTTACACCAAATTGGTCATATTTGACGTTTTGAAGACACATCAGGGTAAATAGTGATCATAAATTCTCCTCTGGTGTCACTTTCTGTTTTTTTTGTTGTTGCAATTTTTCTCTCATATTTTCCCTCCAAATAAAATCTACAAAGTCACTTTGGCGTTGCAGTTACCCTCATCTGATCATAATCTTTAATTTGATGATATAACACTAACAAATGTGGAGTCGTGACTTGTGTGTCTGGCCCGGCTGGGGTCTCTGCAGCACCATGCATGTTTTGACTGGGGAAGCGGGGCTTGTGTTGTTAAAAGCGACTTATCTGCGCTGCTCAGATATCCGGCAGCCCTTTCCTGGGAAGCCGGCTTTTCACATTATGGAGGTCCAGAGCGTGCATGGGGCTGGACTGCACTTTGCAGCCATGAAGATTTTTTTTTTAATAAGAAGGCAGAGGGGGAACTCCTCTAACAAGCTATGATGACATGAAAGGGGGGTTTTCCCTGCAAAAACACAACAGCTCCACATGAATTGAAAACGTTACCTAAATTGATACTAAATGTGCACATGATGGGAGCTTTTTTTGGTTCGATCTATGAATGCAGGCCTGCAGCCTCACTGCAATAAAGCAGCTTTTAAAAGGAGGCATATATGTAGCTAAAACGATGTGAATCAATGACATTCTTGCAAATAAAAAATAGCATCGTCATTGCATTTAAGGAGAAAAAAAAATGTGCAGTTTTTTTGCTATGGTAGTATCTGAAAACAGAGACCTGCACTTGTCGAGTCAATTTCCTGCAGCTAATAGGCCTACTTCTTCCTGGATAGGGGAAAAAAACAGAGAGAGAGACGGAGAATGTCATCAACAGAGAAGAGAACGTGGAGGAGACGTACCAGCCGCCGCTTGGGCTTGATGAGAGGGCGATTCTGCCCGTTCATCTTGTGATAGAGTCCGCAGGCGTTACACAGATAGTGACCCGTACCGTCCCGCCTCCACAGCGGAGTCGACGTGGCCCCGCAGTTTACACACTCTCTACCTTCTGCAAGAGCACACACACACACACACACACACGTACACACAAAACATGGACACACCCTGGTCAGTTGATCCCTTTTTTAAAATATAAAATAAACATTTCATCATGCATGTAAATAAGATGGAAATAAAAAAGGTTATAAGTCAGAGAAAATAGCTAAACAAATGTTATACATCATGCACAATGCATCATGCTACATTTTCAACATCAGCAGTAATACATTATTGCAAACATATGCATTGATTTTCTGCAGCAAGTATTTTATTTTTCACACACACACATACAACCACACACACACACACACACACACACACACACACACTCACGCACACTTGAAAACATGTGGTTGGTGTTGTTGTGAAAACAGCATCAGTGTTAAGGTCCTTAATCTTTTCATAAACCACAAAATCTTCAAGCTGAGTTTTTTTTAAAACTGCAAAATGCCATCTGGTTTTCGACCATTTAAAATGTTTTATTCATAACAGACATTTTTTTCTTTATCTTATCAGCTAATTTATCAGTATGTACAATCTAAATAACTCTATTGAGTAATTCGGCTGTGTGTATAACAGTTTTTATAAAGGGCTGTGTCCTTTTGTTTTGAACGATTGAGGGGCTTTGACTGGCACTTCTCTAGTGACACCGACAGGTGAGCCGCGCACTAACAGTTTGATTATAGAGCAGAGAGAGAGAGAGAAAGGGGGCCCTGAAACTGAAACAAGTGGAGCTGCCACATTATTTGAAAGCAGAGACTCTCACACAGTGCTTTTGTGCTCACGCCGAGAGCCTTTTTTGCATTTTCATGCAGCCGCACTTCCCCTTTTTTTTTTTTCTACCCGAGCTGCAAAAACAGACTTCTCCTTCACAGACTCACAGAAAAGAAAAGAGGGAGAGATAAATGTGTTGTGTTAGATGTGATAGACATGCAGGCAACCTGGACAAGTGCTTCTTTACTGCTGCTCGAATCAAACAGGAACTCATCCAATGTTCACGACTTGACATTTTCTTTTCTTTTTATTTTAATGCAGGCTTTTGCAATGTACGTTTTTTTGTGTAATGCACAATTTAGCTTTCAAATAAACGCTTAATTCTCCTCAAGTTTAAAAGGGAAAGCTCATATCTTTAAATGAACATTATCTCATATTATCCTCGAATTAAAAATCTTGATTTGCATTAGTGTATGATGCAGAATAATCCCGATGATATGCATCAGATAATCCACTGTTTTCTATACTCCCATCAAAAGCGCTGATATTAATCTCATTACTGCAAACTGGGTTTTCAGCTGCAGACATAACCTTAAAAATAATTACCAGCCCTCTTCTTCTTCTGCACAAATAGTCATATATCTCTGTCTGTCTGTCTGTCTCTCTCTCTCGGTGCAGGTTCGTGCTCTCTGCCATGGGCGACGGTTCACCCCGCTTTTTTCCCAGTGAATGAACATGCAGCATCCGGTGCTGAACCGCTGGGTAAACAATGCAACTGTGGCGCGCACTGGTCTGACAGTAATGGGATTATCTTAAACATATAAACGGGGCGACACAGCCCAGAGAGCTGGCTTCCCCCCTCTGTCTCTGTTTCTCTCTGTGTGTTGGTGTAGAGGAAGGTGGAAAAAAAAAATGACCTCAATTAATCACAGCATTTGGCCATGGACTCGTTTACTTTCATCGGGATTTGATTTTGTTGGGAAAATATCCAAATAGGTCGAAGACAAAAAAAAAGTTTTATTTCATCTTTATAATTTATTTAGTATTTATTTAGTTGATTAAATTCATTTTAAATTGTATTGTGCTTTTAAATACATTCTAATCTTAACTGTAAATTAATTAGCTTTTATTCATATTTTTATTATCAGATGATGAAAGAAAAAGCTCTGAGGCATTTTGATGCGTCTCTAAAGAATTCAAGGTTTGGCCTTTAAGCTCCATATTGGGAGCTTTTTCTTTTTCAAGTGAGGGATGAATGAGCTCCTCGTGGGCATTTTTTTTTTTTAAAGTATGAGATTAAACATGGCTGATCATTACGCCTGCAAATCTGGGGAATATAATGTTAGATCAAAAGGGAATGTAATAAAGCGCACGCCTACCTGAACAGGACCTTGTTTTTGGTCTTGTTTTGGAACCATAACTAGAAGATGACCCACCTATCAGGCTACTTGGTGGGAAGAGGCCTGGGCCGTATTCGGGGACATAGGATGGGTATGTGGCGATGGGGTGGTGGGCAGAGGATGACCCTGCTCCGATTGATGCCACGCTCCGGCTGTGAGCTGACTCCAGTTTCATACTCTCGGCCAGGGTCACCTGGTACTTTATGCACTCTTTATCCTCCTGCCGCACCGAGCTGCTTGAGCCGGGGGTGGATATGCCCGGGTCCGGGGACACGTCTTTAGGAGGGGTGGGGGGGAACGTGAAGAGGTGCGGGCTGGTGTGGCCGGTGGACAGAGAGGAGGAGGAGGACGGGGGGTAGACGGACAGGCCTGCCGGGGAGCCGTGGTGCAGGGGGTTCTTGGGGAAGGGGCTCAGGTTCCAGGGAGAAGTGCTGTGGTGCGGCGCGATGCCTTTGCTCCCCTCCAGCCAGGGCAGAGAGCCGTGCAGTAATGAGGGACGGCACACCTGGCTACCTGAAGCAGCACAGAAACACAGGAACACATTACGAGCTGCTCTCCACGCTCAACAGCGAACAAACACATTCATGCATTTCATATTCAGAAAAATAACATTCACGTTTCAGCCAAAAGACAGAACACTTTTACGCACAGATTTACGCTTTTATTTGTTTTACTCTCAACACAAAACTCTCAATTAATCAGCCTCCATAATACTTTCATGAGAGGTGAAACTGCCTTTTAAAACTACATTTCTACGTATGTGATTTTAATCTTTTGTCTTTTTCATTCTGCAGGCCTTGAAGGCAACAACCTGCACGTAAAAACACTCCGAAAACTCCACGTCATGATTGATTGCTGAGGAAGTTAAATTCTACAATAAGGGGAACTCCACAAAAGACTTCACTACGCACGAATAGCACTCAACAATAAAGCTAAATATTGTGCAAACATGCTGCTAACCAGTTACTAAAATAATATTTTACGTGTCAACACGAGTGTTAGAATAAACACTCGCTGATCCAGAAAACATTTTTTTACGCACGATACTTGTCGAGCCATTTCTTTGACATTTCGGATGTGATTCAGTGCTTGTGAAGTTTAGATTTGTGATAGAAACCAAAGAACAGACTCGAGGTAAACCATGCATATTTACGGCGTGGTTTCACAACACTCTCATGTTTTTCCAGAAAAACACTCAGGCCAAAACCGAAACCTGGCCCCGGCTTCACAGTCAGATTAAACAAATAATTCCAAATACGTCAGTCTGTCGTTTAATATTTGCTGTAGGGTTTAAGTTACGCGGAATGGTCTAAACAGGATAACGTGCTCGTTATTAAATAAATAAAAGGCCTTAAAGAGGCCGGTTTTTTTTTTACTTACTGTGAGGAGGAGGAGGGTACCTCTGGACGGCTCGGACAGAGTTTCCATAGTACGGAGAGACGTGGTTCCCCTGTCCATCGATATTAAAGAGTACATCCACATCGTCAGCGAGGGGATACTGCGAAGGGTCCATGTATGAGTGGCCGAGGCCCGGGTGATGTGAGCCGGGATGCTGCTCGTTCAACACCGCGGGATGATGGCTCATCCATCGTGGCTGATCCGCACTTACTTCCATGCTTTTTTCTGTGTGTGTTTTGCGGGTTGTTGTTTTTTTCTTCTTCAGCAAATGTTCATGCAAACCGGTACGAGTCACAAGATAAGAAAAGAATCAGTCCAAAATCCGTTTATTTATGTTAAATCCACAGGTTCCGCGCGTGCTTCCGATCACCTGGAGACAGAGAAGAGAATTTAATGTCTCATAATCTTAGGTTTTGTTTTGTTTTTCTCACATGCAGCACGATTAAAACAGGCAAGCTTTAAGTCAGTTTTACCCTTAAAATGAATAAACACGAAACATACCCCACATTACAAATGCACCAAAATAAATACGTCCAAAAACGGAATCCAGTCCAACGCAGAGTTCCTGAACTTCTTCCTTCTTTGAAAAAAAAAACAAAAAAGAATTCAGTGTTTCAGCTCAACAAGTAGAGATTTTGCAGGAGCGCAGCGGAGACTTCACCGCACTCTGACCAGCACCAGCAAGTTAAACTCACTGATCAAATCTGTGTTTGTGCGCAGTTGTAGCTTCTCTCTCTCTCCATTAACTCCTCTCTCTCTCTCTTTCCCCTCTCGTCTGTGTGGCTCGTGCTCGCTCACCCTTGCTCTACCTCTCTTTCTCTCTCACTCTCTCTCTCTAGCTGCCCTCTCTCTCTCTCTCTCTTTTTTTCTCTTTTTTTTTTTTTTTTTTTTACAGTGAAGGCATTCTTTCAGGATGGCGCCAGGCAGCTCAATGCTTGCAGACAGCTGTGGCGCGACGCAACTTAAGGAGGGTCTGTCAGTGTCATCAGTTAAGGGGAGGGGCCTTGCCCTAATTGAATATAACGTGGGGCCAAGGAGAGATGCAGAAAGTAAGTGCTGCAAGATTATTCTTTTTTTTTCTATGACCTTGCCAAAAAAAGATGTTATTAAAATGAGGATCTTTTTAATAGGCCTGATAAAGCTTCCACCTAAATTACGCATGAAAGCATCCCAAAGGGTGCAGAGTAATTACGTCTTTTCTTTTAATAAGGTCTACATTTAAAGATACTTACGTACATGAACGTAACGTAAATAAAAGTATGCCAAATAAACATAGAAAGGGGAACATGTATACATAGAAACAATAAAAATATTATGTTTTCTATTATATACTATATTTAAAAGAAAAGAAAAAATACGCTAACCCTAAAAAATACAAATATTTGTGGTGCATTTTTGTTTCAGATCTGCCCTGGTGCTTCACTTTCTCTGTGCACAGTCGTAGTAAGAGGCTGCAGCATGCAGAGCCTGTTGCTCGGGGGCCAAAGGCAGGTTGCGGGACATGCACACACGCTCTTAAAATTGTGACAGTGCGTCCTCTCGCGGTGACAGCCACATTATTCTAAAAAAGCAACATCCAAAAAAAAAAAAAACCTGAACCCCCCCAGATCTCCTCGCAAGTGAAAGCAAGGACGCAGAAGCTTATAGAGTTCAAAAAGTATATGCTCATAAATACGATCTTAATGTAGGCTTCTTGAAGGCTGTCAGTGGAGTCACCAGTATCCACGCTGTAACCTTGCAGCGACTCAGACTGACAAGCAACAATGGAGCGTGTCATTATTTATTCAAAACGGTGCATTAAATGGAACACGATAGCGCGCACAGGGAGTGATTTAACCCCCCTTCGATTTTCATCTTTTCTTATTTGCAAGTTTAATATTTGAACAATTTAAAGGGCAACCTTTCCCCCACTTAAATCACAGAGGAATTAACCCTGTGTGCGCGTAATTCACCTCAGGACAGGGGGCTTCTCCATGGGGAACTATTCCATATCTAAAGAAGTCTGACTTCTCCGTGCACTTCCACATTGCCAGATTGTAATAGTAGAATACGTGTGTGTGTGTGTGAGTGTGTAAATGTGTGTCGTGGGGGCAGCCTCGGCGACGCCACTGGATGTGACGTCACCGCGCGGTGTAAACAAGTCAGGAAATGAACCCTCTTTCTCTCTCTCTCTCTCTCTCACACACAGATTGCGCGTGTTTGGCAGCGGGAGCGCGCACGCCCTTCCCCTTGCACCGCGTACGTATCAGCATGATCCTGTCACCGTCTAATACCAGGTATGGTCGGGTTTTAATGGGGGGGGGGGGGGCGGATACACTGGGACTAAAATGCATGAAATAGATCATTAATAACCCTTTGAAAAAGCAGGATCATTTCCTTGTTAAGGTTGTATTTTCACAGCTACGATTTAAAACTGGGAGGTTCAGGTGATGAAAGCATTATTATTTGATAAATTCATGAATCATTTTGTCATTTTTTTTAATTTGGAGGTTGTTCCTGGGAGCTCAGACTGAGAGAGTCTTGGCAAAGCCTGCTATTTTTCCTCTCCAGGATAGCCCTACACCTGGAAATAGATAAGGAGGGAGGGAGAAGGAGAGAGAGAGAGAAAGAGAGAGAGAGGCAGTGCAAACCTGAGACTGAACTTGGATGCAAACTGCTGTAGCTGCCATTGTCAAGCTGTCAGCGGACTCGTGTAATTATCCTCTTGAAAAGTATCGCGGAGGCCATTATCCACAAAGTCCCCCGTTATAGGTGCTCAGAGGCAAACACATGACGGTAAATGTAGCCTAAAATCCCGATTATGCTTTTTTTGTTTCTTGACTGGATGTATCGAAAGCTTAGAGAATGGGGACATGGAAGCCGTCCCATGACTTGATTCCCCCCAAGCCTCGGTGTCAATAACGCCGGAGCTTATTCAAGCTGGCTCTCTTCTAAAAAAGTTGTCATTTATAATCCTGAAAACTGTCTCCAACGGAGGGAGAAACGGTGGCTTCAGCTTTCTGTCTCCCTCAGTGTCTGAGAGAGAGAGGGAGAGAGGGAGAGAGAGAGATGGTCTGGGTCTATTTTTGAAGTTAATGGCCTACAAATAGAAGCGCTTGCGTTTCGTGCGTAAAGGTTGATTCATAGAAGCCCAGTCCGGCTCTGTGATGGCAAGAGATAATTTCTGAGTGATTATGTCAGCCATGCTTTGATTACAATCACGACATGGCACACTTTCTTTTTTCTACACACTGCGGCTGTGAATTTAAGACACGAACGGATTATTCCACTGCCTGTGTGTGTGTGTGTGTGTGTGTGTGTGTGTGTGTGTGGGATGAAATGTTTAAGATAACGTCTCTTTGTATACGTGTGTTCGCGTGTGTGTACCTTAACTTCCTGTGTGTGTGTGTGTGTGTGTGTGTGTGTGTGTGTGTGTGTTGTTTGCATCAATTACTGACATTTCCAACTTGAATAATAATTTCCTTTATGTCATCTGATTGGCCAATGAGATCAAATCACACAACAATAATAAAGCACTATATCAGTAATGTACCACCAATAATACTTATCATAATCATGACGTAATATTTACATTTGTATCTTTTTGTCAGCTGTTTATTCGTAAAAGTGTAACAATAAAATACATATAAAGACATTTAAAAGAAAATGTATTATTTATATTTCATTGTAGGCTGTTTTATAACAAGCTCTTTGGTTGGCTATTGGTCCATAATGTGTCCTATATTTTTCATAAAGCGTCCAAAATAAACACGACCTTTATTAACCTTTAGTCTTCACAAAGTAAATAAAAAAAAGGTACACAATAAACAACAGAAAATACAGGATTGTGAAGGCTAGGCTAAGTAATTAGCCTGATGAAGTATTAGGAGTGTAAAAGCTGCAGGTGTTGTCTGATATAACCGTGTCGATAACCCGGGCTACAGGCTCCAGTCATTGTGTGACACGATGTGTAATTGTGATCTATTTCACGGGTTCAATTTTCATTTCTTGGCTACATTTTGAAACCAGTCAGTTAGCTGAAATGTTACACTTCTTATGCACCGTGAGTCATCTGTCGACCTCTCTGGTCTTTTCAAGAAAATGACAGTCTTTGGTCTTTGCTCTTGTGTCAGCCATGTGAACACACTCGGCTTCTTAGAACACAACAAAACGAGGGCGTCAAATTCTGCGCCTGAAACTTGAAAAAAAACCCGAAGTGCATTTTCCTAGAATGATTTAAAATCGAGAACATGAACATTTAAATCACTTTTTTTTTTTTTTTTGGTATTTCTTCGAGTGTGGAAATAAAAAAAAAGTAGCACTCCTTAAGGCTAATTTGTGTCATTCTTCCCATCGAAGAAGAAAAAAGAGAAAAAGCAAAATGGTCTGCCAATTTTCTGACTTGTGATGCTTATCTGAGTCTGTATCGCTGCTCGCCAGACGCACTGATGTAATCTTTGATTTAAAGCACATGCGGGGCCCTCTGCAAACCCCAACACACACAACCCAAACTCACTCATTTATATTTATTTACCCTTCTTGTTCATATTCATTAACGAATTATTTCTATTTAATCACACGGGATATTTTAAATAAAGGCACATATTACAACTTCCATTATATCCAAACAATAAATCGAGACTCAAATGAAACCACAGCACCCTAAACTGTCCCTCATTGTCCCGCTAAAAAACGGTCTTTCATGGCTTTTATCGCGGGTTAAACTAATTATAATATTTAATTAACACAAATGTATTTATTTTAACTAAAAATATGTCAAGTTTGGTTATTTTAAATTGCTAAAAAATACCAATTGGATTCAGCTCTAGTGTGAGCTAGAACTCCTGGCCCCGTGACACCAGTGCGCGTAAATTTGGCGTCCTATTCCTTCTCCTTCTCCGCCATATCAAGACGTATCGACCACAGACGAGATGGAGGCGACTAATAAACGGAGGAGAGGGGGAGAGAAAAACGCAGCTTCAGCAAGCCTGACTCCTTTTTTTTTTTTTTTTCTACGACCCGCCGGCAAGGTAATCAGATCAATTTCACGGCTTGTATGAGATTCTGCCTATACCACCAACCTGAGCGCGAGGTAATAGGTCGTTAAAACCCCTCATCTGCGCTAGTTTGGGAAGGGGAAGGAGGGTGGGGGGTGTAAAGATATGTGGCTCAATATTTTAAGAAATGCAGCTTGTCAATCTAAAAAAAACGAGCGCTCACTTGTTTTTTTTTTTTTTGACCGGAGCTAATTTCGCGTCATCCAGCTTGAAAGAATATGGCAACAAAAAGCGAGCAGCTCCAGACGACGTTAACGGCAACAATGGCGGACGTTATGGGTGTTATAGCCGGTGTTATCAACACTACATCCCCCCCCCTCCCCCCCCCCTTTTTTTTTCCAAGCAAGTGGACAGCAACAGCAAATTAAAATAAAGATGTAACCAAAAGGCAGCTTCGTCAACTATAGCTCGATTATTCGATTTATTTCATTTCTTTTTTGAATTAGCCAAGCATACAAAAAGCCCCCGTTCACAAAAGTTTCCCCCATCATTCATAAGGCGAGCAACATCAGTGAGCTCTCATATCAATATACCGCTGACAGGGAAGAAGAAGAAGAAGAAGAGGCAGCCGATTGGACGGAGCTCCTTTTTTTTTTTTTTTTTTGTTTTGTTAGGATGCACCGGCTCCAGAGCGAATCTAAATATTTACTGACCTGTAGTTGTGGACGCTGGACGGGGATGATGGAGGCGGTTTTTTTTTTTGGTCTGCGGATGTTGAAGAAAGAGTGACATAGAGATGGCAGCGCCGATGGCATTTAGAGAGAG